GTCTATCTCTGTACGGTGACGCGAGACCGCGCTGGACCGCCGCGAATGATTCGCATGCCTGGAGGCGAATCCGGCGATCGCCGCTCCGGAGCGACGCTTCTGTGTTATGGATCGTGATTGGGGAGTTCTGCGACTCGTGACGAAGATGCCGATAGCGCGCGCGCGAGCCTACTCCCGGCTAGACAACACTTTTGCGACATAGATTCCGAAAGTCCCGCTGGAGAGCCGCGCGCACACAGAGCGGCCACGAATAACTCGCGCGCCGAGATGCAAATCCGGAGCGCGGCGTGGAAAAGTCGCGGTTTCACGTAGAGATCGCGGGATCCCCGCGACGTGACACTCGCGCGATAGATCGTGATTCGTGGTGGAGACTCGCCGTCGCCGCTCCGGAGGGGAAGACACTCCGGTAACGAGCCGTAAAGTAGCGCTCGACCGCAAAAAGTCCGCCAGATGTGGTAAAGAGAGGATGCAAATTCGCGCCGCACGAGCTCTTAATTCCCGACGGATCGCGCGGCGATGCTCTCTCGCGTTTCCACAATGAGCCGTAAAGCAGCGCGCTTGCTCGCGGCCGCGGATACGCCTCTCGACTCTTCTGCGGATCGCTGTCGTAGGTCGTCGGGACTCGGATCGTGTTCCGCGACGACTCGGCGGCAGTCGTGATTCTCCTAATAAGAGCCTGCGGAATCGTACAACTGATCGATATTCCGACGGCATGACTGTACACACGACGACTGCGACGGCACGCAAGCGTGTCCCCGGTATCGTCGCCAGATTACTGTGCGGGGTGAAAACTCCGTCGAGTCTGTGCGCGAGAAATGTATCGAGAGTAGACAAGGTATCGCGACATCGATAAATTTCAATCATCTGTGTGAATGACTCACGCTGATGCGCTCGTTTTCACGATGCCATGATTATTCTCAATTGCACTAATTATTACAGTCATACATGTACACAAATATATATACAGGGTGTTTCCAAAAAACCATTTATATGGTAGATAGTATACACCATACTTAGTAAAAAACTTTAGTGAACATAGATCGAAAGCTCAACCATTTCTGAGATATAAATATTTTTGCATGTTAGCATCATGAATGACTTAGCTTTACAGAAGGTGTTTCACATGTCTTCCTCCATTTCTATACATGCTTGGCATCTTCTTTTCACAGAACCGTGAATTTCTTGATTAGAGTAATACGTTATCATTTTTAGACTTATAACTGTAATCACCAAATAAGATCCGCAATCACCGGTTGATGACACCTGACTGATTGCCAGTGAAATTTTCTGTTATGAAGCATGTACGGAAATTGAATGAGGACATACAGAACGCGGTTTATAAACATTGAGGTAAACATCGCATACGACACGTATAAACTTAAGTCATTCATGCTAACATACAAAAATGTTTATATCTCAGAAACGGTTGAGCTTTCGACCTATGTTTACTAAGGTTTTTTTTACTCAGTATGGTGTATACTATCTACCATATAAATGGTTTTTTGGAAACACTTTGTATATATGTGTACATATATATATATCGATTGTGAAAAATTATTCGACCGGAACAATAGATATTTCGACGCGACGCGTGAAAAATTGCCGGGACTCGCAGCCCAGCCCAGCTTGCCCGTCGCGGCTGTCAAACAATGCCACATTAATTTGACAGTAGCCGAAAGGAGCACTTGGAGGAACACTCCCCGCGTTAGAACCAGCGTGTTAATTCGATCCTGTGTCGCACAAGTGCGACTTGGACCTACGTCATTCCCGGTAGCGCTCGACAAAGCCGTTTCGTCAAAGAGACGATACACACAGCTCGCCAGCGACCGGGGCTCGCTGTGTGCCACTCGAGAACGCTGTTTCGACATAGCCATTACGAACGAATTCCGGATAATCGCGTGTCCCCGTCCGACGAGACGCCTGTACAAAAGCGACAAGTACACAAACGGGCTCTGAGTACCAGCGAAGAAGTGCGAAGAAGCTAATAGACTTTCGAAGTGTATCGTCACGCGAGCTCTAACGAACTGAAATCTCGGCTGGAATTTGCCGGACGACGTGCGCGACACCGAGAAGCGAACGGAGCGACCGACGAAGGCGTGCACGCGTACGAGTGTCCGCACGTGTCACTCGACTGTATTTCTCCTCAACACGACACAATCCACCTTTCGGGAGAAACCTCCAAGGTTCTCCGCGAATCGCGTGCGCTCTCTCGCCCGAGAGCTGTCGCCCTTCTCGTTCTGCTCGTCCCTCCCCCGATACCTCACCCTTCGCCAGCGACCGAAATTTACCCCGATTAAATTCCAACGCGTACACTTATCCACGCCTTTGCGGAGCCGTTTGCAACGGATAAGCGCATCGCGCCAACGTCTGACAGACAGAGAGAGAGAGAGAGAGAGAGAGAGAGAGGAGAGAGAGAGAAACCGGTTTGCCGTACGTTTTAATTTCACGCCGACATCGACGCAATTCAGTTTACACGGATACACCCAGTTTCCTAACGTGCGCTCATTCGTTTTCGGGGCGTCCAAGGCTGAGAGAGGAGGGTGCCTCGCGTTGTGTGACACGCGAGATCCGCGGGATCCCTCGTGAGACCGCGGCGGAGTCGAGTTGTTGTCGCTGCAAAAAGTCCTCTTTTCCGCGATCACCTCGACGCGTCATCGAGACCGCAGTAATTATCGTCGTAGAGAGCGTGTCGTAGATAGATAGAGAGACAGAGAGGCTGCGGTTTGAGCCGGAGCGTCTCGTCTTCGCGAGCTGTCGCTCGCGAGTTACGTTCCGTGCGCGACGTGGCGCGTCGTGATGAAACGGGCCTTTTTGCGAGACGCAAAAGTGTACCAGGGGGCGATTATCTCTCGTGTGGCACGATAATGATCCGCGGTATAAGGATGCGTCGCTTTGTCCACTCGTCGCGGAGTGTCATCTCTCTGTTTTAGTCATCATTCGACCGCGAAACGCTACGCGTGTCGCCGTGCGCGCGAGAGGCAAATGCCTTCTGTGTGGAGTGCACAAATTACAGGTAATCGTCCCGATAGAGATCCCATCGCGTGGAGATCGGCTGCGATCGTTATCGCGGGCAGATCGTGTCCCGATTTGCGGGCTCTCGTGATATCCGAGCGTCGTTACCGTTTTCACTCGCAGATTGCGTTTTAAACGGCCGCGGCGCGATTACGGATTGCGGCCGCGGCGATTTGTACTCAGCGTCGCCTACGTCTATTAAGAGTCCGTCTCAATTAACGCGGCAGCGGTATTTGCAGTTTTTTGCCGGCCGGAGTTTCTAGGACGATATCTCGACGACGCGCTCCGCGAGAGAGGCCTCGTCTCGCCAAACTCGCCGCTCACGACGACGAGTCTCGTGTCCGAACGAACCGCACCATTTTCAACGGCGACAACAATCCTATCCTGACGGCACTGCTGAAGGGTTGCCGCACCGGCGGCTCAAGAGTCCCTGATTGTCACTGATCGATCGACGCGCACCGTCGATTAAAAAGACAGTCCATGGGTCCGATTCGTCGTCGCTCGAGTCGAGGAAGTGCCGGTCACCCGCGAGATCGGCGACGAGAGTAGCTCCGCTTACATCCGAAACGTCATAGGCGTGAGGAAGCGGTGGATTGCGAGTCCTCGTGTTGTTCGGTCTGTCGATGCACGCACGAAACAAGCGTTCCCCGTCGAAAAGGAGCAACGCCGAATCTCAGAGGTGGCAATCTCTCGACGTGCGAACGCCTCTCCAGAGTTGGGGCACAGTGGTACACGCGTACACAGAACATACGTGTGAAATGTTGCCGTTTATGTGCGCGCAACAACATTTTTATGCGCGACTGTGAAAGTCGCGACGTCCATGTCAGTGTGCGTCGCATGAACGTGATGGCTTTACACGCGATCGTCTTGAAATTACGAGCAGCACCCCGAATCCATTAGAGCATCACATCCGTTATTTTCGGTTAGTTCTTCGTTCGGTTCGTGGACTCTCCCGTTTCACTTCTTCCTTCCTTCTTCGAGCGAGGGACCGACCACTCTGTCGATCCGATCCGGCGCGGTTAGTCGCTCCGAATCATCTCCTCCTCTAGGCCGATCTTTCACTACGCGAATCTTCTCGTCTTTCTCGCCGTGATCTCCTCCTCGACGTTGTGGATGAGCGCCCGACAGTATTCCCGTTTGGATTTACATGTTACTGTACGCAGGTACCTCACTCCGGTCCGGTATCTCGATCGTCCGCTGCAACGCGTCGCTTGCAACACACTCACACTTACATACGATGCACTTTTGACGCACTTCAACGCCGTTCAACTGCGTTCTCACTGTCTTGGCGTCGCGTTCGTCGTCGTTCGCCTCGGTTGTCACCATTCATCACGCGACTCCTCCTCGCGATCTTGCTCCTTTAACACAGCGGACTCGAGGTGTTCGCTGATGCGTCGTTTTATCGGCGAGAATCGATCTTACACCGCGCGCGCGCGTGTGTATGAAATATCACTCGTGGCCAAAGACGTCGCAAGGGAGACGGCTCAGACGACACTTGGTGACGACAACTGAAAAGGTCACGACTCGCGCTCGCTCGGAGATCTGCCGCGCGTCATCGAGCCGGTCGGATCGCGAGAAGTTGTCGCGCTTGCCAAAGGCGCGTGTGACACCTACTCGCCTCGAAGGTGTCAGTGAAATAATAATCATCTCTCGCGGTCGCACCGTCGCTGTCACCTGGAGTTAATCCAAAAGTCATAACCGTGAACGATCGCGAGCTCGTTACGCACCAGACCTCGCTTCGCGGATCGCAGCTGATCATCGCGCGCGCGAAATGTCAGTGAGTCGTCGCGTGCGTCAGAGTCCCGGTGTCACCGTCGCCGTCCTCGTCGTCACGTGGTGCACACGGCGCGAATTCACGGTTGCGTTCACGTACCCCTCGGCGCGCAGGGAACAACGGCTCTGTCTCCGCTCGCTCCGTGGAGAGCGCGCGAAGAAGCGGCGGACAGAGAGGACTCCGCGGAACGAGCGAATTCGACGTGTCGACTCACCTGCAGTATGTATCCTCGCGTGTAATCCTCGTGGGTCCAGCCGAAGGCAGCTAAGAGACGTGTCACTTGCGCGGGGGGCAACTGGTTGAACAACTGATCGAGCAAGATCTTAAGGCGTATCGGCAGTGCGCGCGAGCCGTAGAGTACGAGGGATGCGACGTCAAACGCGGCCGTCGGCTCGACAGTCTCTGAAGCCGGTGGCCTCTCCTCCTTCTCCGCGACTTCGCCACCACCACCGGCGAAACCACCACCACTACCGCCTCCGTTACGATCCCCACCAGCGTTACCGCCGCCACTACTACCACTGTCACTGCCACTACCACCACCACCACCACCACTACTACCGCCGCCGCCGCCGCCGCCGCCGCCGTTGCCGCCGCCGACGCCGCCACCACCTCCACCTCCGTCGACACCCCCTCCTCCTCCACTACCGGCCGCGGGCACCGTCGTCGTCGTTGCCGCTGCCGTCGTCGTCGTCGTCGTCGTCGTTGTCGTGGCCGACGTCGCCGATACCGAGTGTTTTACCCTCCCTACGACGCTTTTGTCCTCCCTACCAGTGGGACGAGGGCCGGAGACGACATCCCCGCCACCAGGACCACCACTTCCACCACCACCACCACCGAGCCTCTGTTGTTGAGCCTGCTGCTGCTGCTGCTGTTGCTGCTGCTGTTGTTGCTGCTGCTGCTGCTGCTGCTGCTGGTGGATACTTGACAGTCGCGCCAACGCTGGAACACAGGCAAGTGGAAAAGAGAGAGGTCAAATGTAGTCTTCTTGCCGGTAGTGCACGCGCGCGTGCGAGCGTGTGTGTAGGTGGGTGAACGTGGACAAACGTCCTCTCTGTGTCCCCCTTTCCTCTCCTACCAGTGTCTCCATCCCACCCTCTGCCGCGCCCCACCAGTGTCCTCCAAGCTCCGGGTACTCCCACCCCCGCACACGCTCGTCTTTCTCCGTCGCGTCTCTCGTGTCTCTCTTTCTCGCGGTGGACCGTCGTTCAATTTCGCTCTTTCTCTGCCTTCCTCTCGCTCGCACCGTCGCTCGGTCGTCCCCTCGAGCAGACTCGCGTGGCCCCCCTCCGTCCCTCTGTTATTCTATCTCTCTCCTTCTCTCTCTCTCTCTCTGTCTCTCTCGGCCTCTGTCTCCGGTATCGTCGAGGCAACCTAGGGTCGCCGTGGCACCGAAGGTACTTACTTATCCCCACCTGTTCCCGCGACCGGACCTACCGGCCCCACTCCCGGTCGACCCTACTACTAGCACCTCCGGCGTCATTCCTACTACTACTAGTATAGCCGTTTACTACTACAACCGCTGGCGCCTCCGCCGCCGCCGCCGCCGCCACTAGAGAGCTGTGCCACCACTATACACCAGCTATATACGAGGACGACCACGACGAGTCGCGCGGCGGATCCCCTCCACTCGGATTTTCTCATGAGACTCCGGCATCCATCAACCTGCTGCTGCCGCCGCCGCCGCCGTGGTCGTCCTCGTCGTCGTCGACCTCGACGCATTCGTACGAGGACCGTCCGTGCGCTACTGGCGCGAACAGCATCCGGAATAGGTATCCCGCCGACACGATCTCGGCCGTTCGATTTCGTTGGCGCGCTCCGGGATACTCCGGGGCCGCTCTCTCGGAACAGGTGGGAATCGGAGAATACGACGCGACAACATCGCGATGTACGATGATGTTGAACTCCTTCGGGCCGGTGTTCTCATGTTCGCGGAATCATCGTGGCGAGCCTCACATCGGTTGAATGATAACAGACGTGAAACTCGAGCAAGCTACTTTGCGCTCGCAGTTTCGTGTGATTCGATTCGAGTTACACTTTGATATATTCCGGGAGAAAGTTAGTATTGCGAAGGAGGCGAGAGAGCGGTCACAGGCATCGTCTCGATGCACAAGGTACACGAAATCAGTACCCGGTCGCGGTAACCGGAGGACGGCGCGATGATTAATTGAACATCACGTGTCCGTGCGACTTGGAAGTTACCTGTTCAAGAGCGACTTCGACGAGCACGACGTTGCTCGATTTCGACAACACGCGCGCGATAGCGTAAGAGGGGCGGAGGGGACGGCATACGAAAATTCGCGCAATAATCATCGGGCGCTTCCAACCAAACTATTACATCGCGATCCGCTCGTTTATCGGCGATCGGCCTCTGCATCGGCTATCGAAAGAATGAACTTGCACGCTCACGAGCGCCGCGGCGTATTTTATATCAGTTACGCTCTCGTCGCTTGTTCGCGCCCGTCTCGCCACCCACCCTTCTTTCGTCAGGAATTAATAACCGCACCCTGTGCGTTAGCGCGGCGCGAGAGATCCGACAGACCGATAGAGCGCGCGTAATGAGCGCCGGATAAACGTATGACAAATCGACGCGTATCGTTAATCGTCGAGAATCGATAAGGCGGGAGATTTATTGTTACCTCGAGCGCGCATCGTTCCCTGAAGACCCATTTACATGAGACGCGAAATACAACTCGCAAATTGCGGTAAAAGTCACAACATTTCATAATGTTGAATCGGGCAGAAACTATGAACGAAATTATCTTATAAATATTCCACTTAAAAATATTACATTTTTTATCTTTCACTACAATACACCTGACTTTTTGTTACAAAATTATTATAATAAGTACTTTTTGTATCATATATTCGGCAGATCATCAATTTCAATATTTTCATAGTAGTTTGCATTACAAAGTGTCAGTATAGTATAGCTATATACACGAAGCATGTTATAGAATAAAATATAATTTTAACGTAATTTTGACTACACGGAGAGAATATAGTGTTTTCTCACATAAATTCTTTTCAATTACTTTACGATGTTTCTACGCAGAAAAAATACGATTTTACTGCTAAGAAAAGCGATTAATTTATTTTCCTTCTTTTAACGTTTATTTTGAACAAAGAATATATTTTCTTGGCAAAATGGTCTTGGAATATGTCCAACACAAATTTGACAGAGGTTCATATATTATTATATACTCAAAAGAAGAATTTATTCTCTTTACGAGAACATTATAAAAGTTTATCAAAGTAAAAGTTGATTCGACTCCATGTATAGTAAGCAAATCAAATTTTTCTCTTATTTTAATGTTCTTGATTGAAATGCTGGATTTATTCTCTCCTCATTCTTTACTAGGATTCAGAATGTCTGTCGAATAAATTTGATAGATTTGCGGATATATAAACTTATAAAATATGACTTAAGTACGGGTAGAGCTCGGGTAGAATGTCATAGACATCATTTTCACCAAGGATGTCAGCCGCGTGACGTTCATTCGGTCTACGGGTGACACGTTATCCGCGTTCGCGAATTGCGTTTTGTGGCTTATAGACGGGCGTTGATGAAGCAAAAGCGAATCATCGTCCGTACATCGCGTTGATAATAATCGCAGTCGGCAATCGCGCGCTACGTCCCGCGCCGCGCAAAAAGCATATCGACGCTTTCTTGGACATGAAATCGTCGGACGCGTCGACGGCACTTTGTGTATGTAGGAGTCACACAAACACACACACACACACACACACACACACACACACACACACACACACACGCTCGACATGACTCGTCGTCGCCCTCTAGTGGGGAACACCCATCCGTAGGGACCAGCGGCCGCGCGAACGGACGCTTTCCCTCCAGAACCGTCACGCTTTTCGCACCTGACGATTACTATCTCGGGACACGAAAGTTTATGGACCTCCTTATAGTCCGCAGACTTAGCGCGGACTCGGCAGATCGTATCGCCGCACGGCGGCGGTGTTTCGCATACGACGAAAACGTTAATCGAAACGTGTGCGCGTTAATGCTCCTTTCCTATCTGTCTCTCGCCATCAACCTGAGCTCACCGCGGCGCACTTGCTGGACGGACGGACAGACAGACGGCCGGACGATCGAAAGTGTCCGTCGCCGTGCCGTTGGACGATATATACGAGCTGTGCGATAAGAGACTGGAGTAACGCGGCCGATTTTTCCCAACGGAGATTTCGCGATCGTACGCGCGAGTTCTTTACGATCGGAATCGGCCAGGGCTGCGCTGGGGTACGGATTAGCGATCGGTAACTCGTTCGTTCTCAGTCACGGAAACGCGACCAGCCTCTAAGAGAAACCTCACGTCCGTCTGTTTGTCTGTCTGTCTTGAGACAACGGTTGAGCTGGGACGACGGTCAAGTTGGATAGAGAATTAGATAGGGAAATGTGAAGAAAAATATAAATAATTTGCAGCTTTGCAGTGAACGCATTGTCTCAAAGTGGGTCGATTCGCGCAACGTAAACCGGAAGATTGCGTGGCGATTCGTTTCATTCGTCATTTTTTCGTTCTGCTACACGGGAAGAATATTATAGTTTTCGTTTTTCCCCATAGAAAGTTTGTTAAATTTTACTTTCTCTAGTAATGCACATAGGAATAGACTGTCAGATTTCTGCCTTGCTAAGGATCACGGTAAATTTTGTTAGAAGTATACGTTGTGTGAGAAAAAAATATCTAAAAATATCTAAAAAATAAAAAAAAACATTTATTCAGTGGGTATCAATAACATATTTGCTTAAATCTAAATTCTTTTATTTGAATGGAATAAACAGTTGTTTTCATAAAAAGTTAAGGTTTTAAGAAAGTGTATATACCCTTATTTGAAGAATATTTTACATAAGTAAATATGTTAATTAGAGTATCCACATCGAGTATTTTTTATTTTTTAGATATTTTTTCTTTCAGTGTAGCACATTTTTTTAACAGCACATTCCTGACATATGACAGCACGCATGAAACGAAAGAACAGTCAATTACTGCATTCCTCGGCTACAGAATTCTCTCCGTGCAAAAGCTTCATTACAATTTCGAGTCTGTCTCGATCAGAGGGGTTTATTATAAGGTGTTCCAGACGATCGAGGATCAATAATAGCTCGGCAACGGTCCTTTCTCTCGGGACGAAGGATTCGGGGACCGACAGATAATCTCTCATTGTCGTGTCGATGGGAAAGTCGTCGCGGCCCCGGATCCATTACGTGATTCCTTTTCGTGCGGCCGATAACATTGAGGGGGCGGTGTGTTTCGTGCGGGACCATCGGCCTTTGCCAGCGTGATTGTCGTTGTAGGTGCCACAGAAAGCGCGGTAGAAAGAGAAAGAAAGAGAAAGAGAGAGAGAGAGAGAGAGTGAGAAGGAGGGAAAGAGAGGGGAAGGGAGGAAGAGACCCTCAGGGGCCCCCGCGAGCGGTCCCGACCCTCGCGGCGGGGCCCAGCGTGGGATCAATAAAAATCATGGAGTCATCGCGATTGGGCGCCACTTGTCATTAATGACTATCCGGTTTTTCGATTTAATTAAACGGCGATGACGATCTCGCCACCTAAATGTCGGCCCTGCCGGCGATGCCGGCGAACGAGCGAGGGGGCGGCCCGCCTTCGTTTAGAATTAAAGATCGCGCGACCAGATCGCCCGGACTGGGAATAATGAGTCGCAATTAAACGACGGTAATTAGGTTGCGTCCTAAGCCGCGGACGACACGAACGCGATTGCGCCTCATTTTTCCTCACAAAATACGCCTTGTTAATTGCAGAAACGATCTCTCTCTCTCTCTCCACCTTCTGTTTCCTTGTCTCCTCTCTTTATCGCTGCTCGAGCCAAGCGTATTTCTAAGATCGCGCGATAACCACGACGATGTCGCTCTCGCACCTCGGCTTTAAACGGAATCATCAATTAAAGCGCGGATTCACGTGAGTTTCAGC